GTGGACATGGCACCGCTCATCAGGCCACGCTGAGGCAGCATCCTACATGCCACAACCAGAAGGACCCACAACTAGAATATGCAGCTACGTACTGGGGGGCTTTGGGGAGAAGAATTTAAAAAAAGAAAATTGGCAACAGATGTTATCTCAGGGCCAATCTTTAATCAAAAATAAATAAATAAAAATAAAGTCCATCTATATGGACGTTATGGTCCAAAGATGACTTGTGGCCTTATTGATTTCAAGTTCCCTGATTACTGTTATGGTCTAGCCCATTCTCATTGGTTTATTTGTCAATGACACTGCTTCTGCGATTGGCTCTGTGTGGACTGACCATTTTTCCCATGGAGTTCACTGTATTGGGTTGTCTGCCCTTTTTCTTATTGATTGATAGGAGTTCTTTATTTATGATGTATACTAATCCCTTGTCTCTTATATAGTTTGTGTATGTTTTTTCCATCCTGGTGCTAATCTTTTCACGTTGTTTACAGTCTCTTTGGCAGTCAAGGGTTGTTTATTTTGCCTTTTTTCGCACATGTTTTTTTTTTTTTAAAGATTTTATTTTTTCTTTTTTTTCCCCCAAAGCCCCCCGGTACATAGTTGTATATTTTAGTTGTGGATCCTTCTAGTTGTGGCACGTGGGACGCCGCCTCAGCGTGGTTCGATGAGCAGTGCCATGTCCGCGCCCAGGACTCGAACCAACGAAGCACCGGCCGCCTGCAGCGGAGCGCGCAAACCCAACCACTCGGCCACGGGGCCAGCCCTTCGCACATGTTTTTTATACATGTTTGTTTCAGACGTGTTTGTTGAATGAGTAAGTGACTGAGTGCCTTTGGAGAAATGAGGATGGAGAATGCCAAGAGTGACAGAATCCCCTTTCTGCCACCTCAGGAAAGAAGGATGGACCAGCCCCACTCAGCAATGAACACTAAAATGTATCACTCGCTTGTCACATGCCAGACGCAGCGCTGAGCTTGTCACACGCATACAAGTCAGCCCCGGGAGGTCTAAGATTTCTGTCTGTCTGCTTCACAGAGCTCAGCACAATAAACATTTGTTGAATTAGTTATTGAATGACGGCAGCAACTCTAGAAGGAATGTCCTCTTGTTTTTTTCCTATTCGTTTTTTAATAGCAGCTTTATCGAGCTGTTTCACACACCATACATTGTACTCTTTTAAAGCGGTCGTTAGGGTATCCAGAGTTGCAGACCCATCACCACGGTCAACTTTAGAATATTTTCATCTCCCAAAAAGAAGCCCGCTGCCCATGAGCAGTGACTCCCCGCCCCCCGCCTTCCTTCTGGAGCCGCCATCACAAAGGGCCACCAACCGGGGGATGGACACCACAGACCTTGATTGTCTCCGTCCTGGGGGCCAGAAGGCGTCAAGATCACGGTGTCGGCCGGGCTGGTTCCCTCTGAGGCTGGCGGGGGACACTCTGTTCCCGGCCTCTCTCCAGCTTCTGCTGGTTTGCCGGCATCTTTGGGAAATGTCACCCCTGTCTCTGCTTCCATCTTCACACGGCGTTCTCCCCGTGCGTCTGTGTCCAGATGGCCCCTTTCTAGAAGGACATCAGTCATATTTATGGGATCAGGGCCCACCCCACTGACCTTGCTTTAACTAAATTATCTCTGTAAAGACCCCGTCTCCAAATAAGGTCACGTTCTGATGTACCAGGGGTTAGATTGCAACATATCCTTGTGGGGGGATGCAGTTCAACCCCAAACCCCTCCCTTCCCCATTTCCTATTGTCATTGTGAACTAGGTCGTGCCGGCGAAAGATTGCACAAATACATCCGCCTGGATTAAGTAATAATAATAACTAAATGGCCATCTGGGGCCCCACCGGCCCCTCAAGACCCCTGCTACGGCCCCCGCCTCTGCCCCCCCCCCCACCGCATCCTCCTCCCCTTAACCCGGACTCAGGCATGCTGCAAACTCCCCCATTACTCATTCTTTTGGTTTACTATCCATTATTCTTCTAGCACCCAGGGGCACATCCCTAAGGAAGAAATCCTTGATGGTGCCTGCGTTTGGACCTTATCAAAATGAACTCATTCTGGAGGAATTCTTCCAGTGTTTCTTTCTTTCACCAATATTCTATTTTTGAGATTCCTGTAGATGGGGGGAGCAGGGGTTCATTTATTTGGGGAGTACTCTTGGAATACCCCCATTTTACACACAGGGATGGCGAGGCACTGGGAGATGAAGGAAGCGGCCCAAGCTCACACAAGTGGAGCCAGATTTAGAACTTGAGCCCTTGCATCACATGCCCTCCACCTGCCAAGAGAGAAGAATGAAAATGTTTAGATCCCCCCAAACACACACACTCTTACACGTACCACCCCCATGCTCTCAGAACCCACCAAAATCTTACCCCTCTCCTTGATTTCCCCTAGCGACAGGGAGCTCACCACCTCCAAAAAGCACACACTGTTCTTCATCTCTTCCACCCAGGCTGCTCTGGGAGCACTGGGGCCTCAGGGCTTTGACTGGGGAGCCTCTTCAGAACAGAGGAAGGCCAAGGAGAGCCGGATGCAGCTGAGAGGTGGCCAGGCCAGGCAGGGGGGATGGGAGATTTGACCACAAAGGTCTCAGCATCCACAGCCCCAGGATCCCCTACCGGCTCCCTCCCCTCCCGCTTCCGGCCCCAAATGGCAACTGCTCCCTGCTTTGCCTGACCTGGGGTGCTGCACCCACCCTCGTGGGTCCCCCCAAACCTTTGTTAAAAGCCTTTACCAAACGCTCCTCGGTTACCCACTGCAGCACCCCAGCTCCCTCCTCTGGGGGTGCGGACATCCAGGGCAGCCCACCCATTTCACAGATGGGAAACTAAGACCCCCAAACAGTGTCTGGGTGAGTCTCAGCGACTCCACGAGTGGTGGTCAGAGCATGTGCGTCCGGGTCCAGGAGGGTGTCTGCATCCAGGATGTTGACGATCGTATCCAGCATATTTAATGCCAGGCTCGCTCTCAGCTTGAGATGGCGTAACTCAGCGGTTTTTGAGCTTTTTGGTCTCACGACTTCTTTCCATTCCCAGGGAAGACTGAAGAACTTTGATTCTGGTTTTATAAGCCACATCAGAAACTAAAACTGAGAATTTTTTAAGATAATGTTATTTTTAAGTAGCAATAATAAACCCAGTACAGGTTAACATAAATAATGTAATTTATGAAAAATATATTTTCCAACACAAAACATCCGAGTGAGAAGAGGGCCATTACTTTACACTTTGGCACATCTCCGGAAAGTCCGGCGCGACGGAAGCCAGCTGGATGCCCTGGCTGCTTATGTGTGCAGCGTGTTGCGACATCGAATGCCGTGCAGCCTCTGGAAAGCTCCGCTGGGCAGTCACGGGTGAATGAAAGGAAAAAAGCAGAAAACATTTCGGTATGGAAATTTGACCTAGCAGACCCCTGAGAGGGTCTCAGGGTCGCACTTTGAGAACTGCTGGCTGCCCTTACTCAGCGCTGACAACAGTGCTATGAGGTGTGTGCTGGGATCAAATTATCCTCACGTTACCAGAGAGAAACCTGAGGCCCAGAGAGGTGAAGTCACTTGCCCAGAGTCACACAGCAGTGAGTGGCAGAGCTGCAATTTGAACCCCAGCAATCAGGCTCTTAACCTGGACAAGATCAGAGTGTGTGCAATCCTAAAGAAATTGCACAGGATGAGTGCACATCTCAAGGCCCAGCCTGGCGCCTGCCTGGGCCACACAGCCAGGAAGCAGTGTCAGGACACATCAGTGTGGTCTGAGCTTGAATCCCTACTCTGACGCCTTCCCAAGTCTCTCTGGGGATAAAGAGGGAAATATTATTGGCCAAGAGACCATCATGACCCAGCTATCTAGTCGCTGCGTGCCTCAGTTTCCCTAACTGTAAAATAGGTTTAGTAATGGAGGCCAGCTCAGAGCCAGAGAGGATTCACGGAACACAGCGATCCCTACTTGTGAAGCGCGGTTATCGGGCGCGGGGTTAAGCGTGTTCCTATCAGCTGGGGCACACGGCTGTTCAGAGGTGTATGCCTCAGTTTCTCCATCTGTGCAACCCGAGGCGGAGCCCCCGCCTACCCGCCTCTCTGAAGACATCCGTTGCAATGGGGTCTCCCGGGGGCGTTTAAGCGCTTGGAGACCCCCACGCCAGGGCTGAAGGGGCTTGGGAGGGGGATGGGGGACCTCCCATCAGAGTGGGGAGGGCCTGGCTCGGACGCCTGGGTCCCCTTTCTGGGTGGGAGGCGCTCCAACCCCCGAGTTCCTATTGATGAGTTAATGCGGAGCTCGGATGTCAGGCTTCCGGTCCCTGCGGTGTGTGTAGGGGGCGGTGAGGGGGTTGAAGATACGACCCCAGGACCCTGATCTCTGCAGTTCCTCCTCGCATGTCTGTGTCCCGGTCCCTGAGAGGCCCGGATGCCAAATCCTGGCCTTGTACAGGAGGGTGGGCTTGGGTGCGGGGTCCCCTCCTTGCCCGGGGCGGGGGGGGGGGCGTACTGACACCCCGAAGTTAGAGGAGGGTCTCGCACTCCTGGACTCGCGTCCTGCATGGGGCACTGCCGTCTGGGCCTCCGCCCCTGGGGGGCGCTCGGGGTGGATGCCTGCCTGGCCCCCGCGGGGTCACCGGCTTCCCTTGGGGCAGCTGGGGCGCCCGTTCCTCCCGATGGGGTGCAGTTAGTGCCCGGACGCCGGGTCACCCTCTCGGGGTGGACAGGCTCCGACTCCGAGGTTCTCTTCCTGGGGGGAGGGGGCTGGGCCCCCGATGCTGCCGGGGGTTTACGGGACTCGGACCCCAGGCAGCTGGGGACTCCCGGGCCGGGAACCCCCAGACCAGGCGGGCGGGGCGGAGGCTCGGTGGGCGGGGCGGGGCCGAGGGGGCGGAGGCTCGGGGGCGGGGCTCCCGCAGGCCACGCCCCTGCCCGCGCTGTCCGCGCGTCTCCAAGTCCGCGAGGCCGCCGTGCGCGCGGGGACCGGAGCGCCACGGCCCGCGCGCCCCGCCGAGCCCCGCCGGCCCCGGAGTCTATGGGGCCGCCCCTCTGCGCCGCCTGGCTGGCCCCACGCCGCGCCCGGAGCCCGCCCCGCGACCAGGTAACGAGGCTGAGGGTCCCGCGGTGGGGGGCGCTGCCTGGAGGCTGGCAGGAGGGGACGGGGAACTCCTGGGTCCTACAGCAGCAGGGGCTGGAACTCCAGCGTCCTGGGGGCCAGGATATCAGAACGCCTGCATCCCGAGGCCGGAGGATGGGGTACTCGGAGGTTTGGGGGATCCTGGAGAAATAGAGGGCAGGGCACTTGGACGCCAAGGTCTAGGGCATCTGAACACCTGGTTGGGGAGGCTTGGGGGCAGCCTGGATCCTGGGGGCGGTGGGTGGGGGAGAGGGCGTCCTGAATGCCCAGGCCTGGAGAAATGAAGCCTAACTGAACACGTTCCTGGTTCTGGGGCATCTGGACACCAGGACACCTGGGTCCGGAGTGTCGGGTCCATCTGGGGGCGTCCTCGGGCGGAGGCTGTGGCCGCTGCGTCGGGGCTGTGGCTCCCACGCCCGGGTCTTCATGGTGGAAGTTGTGGTTGCGGAGATTTGGCGGCCGGGACACGTGGCGCCACCCCCGAGGAGATGGGGGTGGCCCTTGGGCAGAGCCTGGGGTGGGGTCCCTGCCCTCTGCCCTCCGACCTCATCCCTCGCCCAGCCTGGAAAATAGGCGCACCGCAGATGCGGGGCCCCGGGCTCTCAGGATGGGCTTGCGGGGCGGACCCCCGGGGCAGAGGGCTCTGCGGGCTGGCGCGGGGCGCGCCCGGGCCCAGCGAGGCGCCCGCCCCCCGCCCGGCTTGGGCATGCTTGGCACGCAGCGCGCGGGCCGCCCGGATCCGTATGCGCGCCGCGTGCGCCTATTGGTATGCGGGAGCCGGCCCGGCGCGGGCGTGAGGCGGGCGCGCTGGCGGGCGGCGCGGGGGAGGCGGCGGCGGGGCACGTCCTCGCCCCGCGCTGCGCCCGAGGCCCAGCTGGAGTGAGCTGCAGGCTCTGGACCCGGGCCTGCAGGGAGGGGAAACTGAGGCACTCTCCAGCCGCCCCCCCCCACCCCCAGCTCCTTGCTGCTACCCTGAGCTGCGCACGGGCCTCAGTTTCCCCACAGGTCTCCCGGAGGCCCCCTCGGGCCATGAGCGCGTCTGGCTCCTTCCCGCTGCAGGAGACGCGGATCTCGAGGCCCGCAGGCTGCTCCGGGCCCGTCTGAGCGGTCCCCGCGGCGATGGCGGCGCCCTACGGCGGCAGGGGCTGCGGCGGCGAGGTCAAATGCGGGGGAGGTCGTGGCGGCAGCATCGCCTGGGACTTTCTGCCGGGGCTCATGGTCAAGGCACCCCCGGGACCCTGGTGAGCAAAGCCCCGCCCCTGGGTCATGGCCCCGCCCCTCGATCTTGGCCTCGCCCCCCAGGAGGTGTCCTGGGAGAATTCCCACTCACTTTCTGCCCCGCCCCTCCGGAGACTACACCCCTTTCTGTCCCCGTCCCCAGGGGCTGGAATTTCTTACCCTGAGTTCTCACCCGATGTCCTGTAACCCCCCCTTCCTGGGAATTCACACCCAACACTCAATCTCCCCCTCTGCCTCCTGTGCCCCAGAATTGACACCCAAGGTTCTGTCTCCACGGCCCGGTGTAGAGTCCCCACTCAGCTTCTGCCCCCACCTCCAGAGTATTGAATCCACTGCCAACGTCCCGTCCCGTCCCCGAGGCCCCAGGAGGCGGGGCTCGCCCCCAGGACCCGGACCCCCCATCCCGTGCCCGGCTGACGCCCCCTCCGCGCCGCCCGCCCAGCCTGCAGGCGCAGCGCAAGGAGAAGTCCCGGAACGCGGCGCGCTCGCGGCGCGGGAAGGAGAACCTGGAGTTCTTCGAGCTGGCCAAGCTGCTCCCGCTGCCCGGGGCCATCTCGAGCCAACTGGACAAGGCGTCCATCGTGCGCCTCAGCGTCACCTACCTCCGCCTGCGCCGCTTCGCTGCGCTCGGGGCGCCGCCCTGGGGGCTGCGGGCCGCGGGGCCGCCGGCCGGCCTGGGTGAGTGCGCGTGCGCGCGCGGGGGAGGCGGGGCGGGGGCTCCCCGCGCCATCCCTCGCTCAGCTCCTTGATCCAGGGGGACCACCGGGTTTCGAGCGAGTCAGACCTTTCGCGGGTCCCTATCGGGTCGCTTCTGGTCTCCAAGCCTCAGTTTATCCATCTGCAAAACGGGTGCACAGAGTAGGGAAGATTCCAGGAATTCTGGCCTGAGCGAGGGCCTGGCCACGGCCGAGATCCCGCCACTAGGAAATACTCTTATTTTTATCAGAGGAGATGAATTATTATTATCCCAAAGGAGCCCCGCAGCGCCCTGGGCGGGCCGGAGGGGACCGGCTGAGGCCTCCCGCGCACTCAGCCCGGAGGGGCGCAGAGGGAACCCAAGGACTCGAGTCTGCGCGCACCGTTCGTTCGGGAAAGCCGGGGTCAGAGGCCGAGTGGTGACCCCGGGCAGGACGCCTCCCTTCTCTGGGGCTCATTTGTGACATGGGAATGGTGACGAAAGCTCCGCTCCGGGGGCTGAGAAGCGGCTCCCCCGGGTGATGGGCGTAAAGCCCCTGGACGTGCCTGGTGCAGGGCAGGCGATGGATGTGCGGGACCCCGGGGATCGATGGTCACCTTGTGGAGTCGTGGGGCTGCGGTTTATGGGCATCTGCTCTGTGCCGGCGTCCGTGCTGAGCCCTGGGGCCCCGGCAGGAAGCGAACTAGAGGAATGTGCCGGCCCCGGACAGGCCGCCATCCTAGGGCCCAAGACACAGCAACGAAATAAACAAAGAAATACAATTTGTCATCCATAAAAATTATAGAATATGTAAAACACAGATATATATAGAGACTTCCCCTTTTATTATTATTCAGACGTTCTTATTGATAGATACATGCAAGTGTGATATTGTCAGTCGAGTTCATGTATTACTGCTTCGTTCTTATTTCTAGAAGACAGTGAATAGTGTTAAGCTGAGGTCGCAGGTGACAGGGACCAGGTACCCCAGGCCACTCCCCCCCCCCCAGAAGAAGGGGTGTCCTTAGGGTGGGGTTGGAGGGGCTCCAATTCCCTCTGCCCCGGTCCCAGAGGGGAGAGGGAGAGAAAATAGCATTGATTAAGCTCGCAATAAATCACCATTTAAATTTAAATAATCCGGCTTCCCAGGCGGTAATTAGGCGAATTGACTGGCGCCGAGAGAATGCGGCATTAGTCGCTGATTACTGTCATTACCGCGAACAACATGTGTGCCGGCGGGGGGACAAACAGCTTGTCTATTGTCCCTGAGCCGGGGGAGGGGGTGGGAGAGCCCCAGGGAGCCCCCCCATTGCCTGGATGGGTAACTGGGGGGCAGAGGCTCAAGGCCCAGCGCTGAGGCCACGGCCACCGACTTCATGGACCCCCTGCCCGCGCCCCGGACTCAGGGGCAGGTCCTGTGTGGACGCCCGCCCGCCCCTGCCCGATTATGAAATCGTGGGGTTCTGCTGCTCTACAGGACCCCCAACAAGAGGCCCAGAGCCTGATTCCGTAGTTCAGATGGAGAAACTGAGGACAGCGGCTCCCTGAAGTCAGATAGCAGAGGAGGGAGCCCCATGTCCTCCTCGATAACATGCATGGCAGCCACGGCTGAGCCCTGTAGACAAACTGACTCACTTAATCCGCTCAAAACTCTTCGGAGGGAGGCAACGTTAGGATTCCCATTTTATTGAAGTGGAAAACTGAGACCCAGAGAGGTGAAGCTGTTTGCCCAAGATCACAAGGCCAGGAAGGGGCCCGCTGAGCTTTCAACTCAGGCGGCCTGGCTCCAGGGTCTACCTTCTCAACGATCATACCTGGCACGTTCATAGGTCTCCAGGGATGGGTCCTACCTGGCAGGTCTGGGCCTCTCTCGGGGCCTCAGTCTGCCATCTGTAAAACAGCACAACAGATGTGAGAGGCTAGCCCTGGGCCTCTGAGTCAGGGGAGGAGACAGCCTTGGTCTCATATCAGCGTTGGTTATTCATTCAACAAACGCCCATTGAACACCTTCCCTGTGCCAGGCGCTGTCCTGGGGACAGAGCAGGGAACAGCGCAAAGCCCTGCCCTCGAGGGTGGGCCTACAAACCCTGCATGGCAGGTCCCCTGCCCCCACCTCCCTGCTGTCATCTGTTCCACCTCTCACCTCTTCCAACCACCCACACATGCTGGCCACCTTGCATTTCCCCAGAGAAACGTGTGCGTTCTCTACCCCAGGGCCTTTGCACGTGCTGTGCCTCTGCCAGGAACTCCCTTCCTTCTGAATGTCAGCTCTCCAGTGAGGCCTTCCCTGACCACTCTGTGAAAAATGACAACGCCCCCCCCCCCCAGCACCTCCTGTCTTCCTTTCCCACCATCTTTCCATAGCACTGACCGGCATCGGACACCAGACACTATATAATTCTTCTCTCTCTTGTTTATTGTGTGTCTCCCTCAGCACCTTGTCCCTGAGCCTAGAATCCTGCCTGGGCACAGTGAGGACTCAGTTCGCCAGCTGAGTGACTGGAATGGAGTGTGTGTGTGTGGGGGGGGTGACATCTTAATTCACAGGTCAGGCACTGGCTCTCTGAGGAAGCGACCTTGGAGCCAAGACTGGAAGGAAGTAGGGAGCCAGCTCTGAGAAAAGCTGGAAGAGCCGTACAGGCAGAGGGAACAGCAAGCACAAAGGCCCTGAGGCAGGCAGGAATCAGCTTGCTGGGAGCAGGACACAGGCTCGAGGCCAGGGGTCTGCAGAGGAGTAAGTGAGGCGGGCAGTGGTCGCCGGGGCTGGTCCTGCAGGGCCTCACCGGCCATGGTGAGGCCTTGGCTGTCACCCCAAGAAAAACGGGAACGGAGGGGCTGGGGGTGGGGGTGGAAGCAGGGAGCCCAGTGAGGAGGCAGCTAGACCCGGGTGGGGACCAGCCGTGGGGTGAGAGGTGGCTGGAGTCTGGCGATGCAGGGAGGGCAGAGCCCATGGGACTCAGGAAAATGGACGTGGGTGCAGAGAAAGAGCGGGGCCCAGGGGGACAGCAGGGAGCTATCTGGAAGGGTAGAGGCGCTCCGAGGTCGCCCACAGAACACCGGTAAGCAGAGAGTGAGGACTCAGGAATCAGGGACCTACTGTGTGCCACTTACGGGGGAACCCGGTCTGCTCTGTCGCTAGACCCATTGTACGGATGAGGCTCAGGAAAGTGGAGGCCGAAATGCCCCCTGCGGCCCGCAGACCTGCTCCCCGGGAGCGAGGCACTCCCATCACAGTGGCCGGTCCCCTCTCAGACTCCCGAAGGGTGACAGAGTCCCAGCCCTTCATCCCCACGATGCCCGTCAGCATGTGGCTCGGGGCCATGGAGAAGGAGAGGAGAAGAGGAGCCCCCTGAGGCCCGGGAGAGGCTCGGGTTCCCCCCTCTGCCTCTCGGCCCCCGCCGTGTGTAAGGGACGGTGACACTAGGACAGCTTCTCTTCTCCAGCGGAGTCGGGCTGGATAAGAAACTCAGCCAGTGTTTGTTGAATGAGTGAGCGAGGGTTGGGGTCTGGACGTGAGGAGGGGGCAGATCGGGGAGCCGTGAAGAGCCACCGGCTGGATTTGGGGGCCAGAGGAGGTGGGAGGCTGGAGTAAGAAGGGGCATCAGTCAGGGGTGGGGACGCACCCGGGCCCCCGCGGAGGGGGACCAGCAGGGCTGAGCCTCCCCTGCGCCCCCACCCGACGTGCCCATTAGCGCCGTTAATTGCAGCCTGTTCAGCCTGACCTGGGCTGATCCTGCGGGAGGGAAAATGAAGGAATTAGCAAAAATGACAGGGGAAAATTGCGACAATTAGCGGGCGGCATTGTTCCCGACTGTCACCCGGCTGGTTCGCGCTGCATCTCGGGGGAGGGTCCCCATCCACCCCCCCACCCCACACCGCGGGTTATTGTTCCTGGAGCTCCGGCGGGGGTGGAAAAAGGGTGCGCACAGCCGGGAGGATGTGGGGGGCGGGTGGCTCCGGAGAGGAGGAGGCGGGGCCTGGACCACAGGGGGCGGGGCCGGGGGTTCGCCGCCCGCCCGGTGTTTTGATGGCCCGGAAATAACAATAGTCATCACGCTATTAATACTGATCCCAGCAGCGCCTGCTGGGTGCCAGGTGGCCCTCGCTCTTCTGTTCCTTAAGCTGCCTGAACGCTCATCCCGCCCGGGAGGTCAGCGCCCTTAGCAAACCCGCTTGACAGAGGAGGAAACTGAGGCACAGAGAGGCCAAGGGACTGGTCCCAGGGCACACAGCTGGGGAGGGACAGCGCTGGGGCTGCACAACAAACCTGGACCCTTAGCCCTGCAGGAGCCAGGCACCTGGGGACCCTCCAGGTCATGGAGACCTCGCCCTGGCTCCCCGGTCTGGGCACAGGACCCCTTGGGGGGTCCTGGGTGGGAACAGGGTCCAGGACAACCTGGGCTTCCACCCAGCTCCAGCTCCAATGTCTGGAGCCCTCTGCTCCCAACTGAGGGGGCCTGGAGGGGGAGGGGGGGTCGCTCTCTGCCTCAGTTTCCCCATCTGTCTTTCTCTGTATCTCTCTCTGTGTGTCTCTCTTCCTCTGTCTCTCCATCTCGTTATGTCTCTCTGGCTCTTTCTGTCTCTCTACCCCGTCTCGGTTTCTCTGTGTCTATGTATGTCTCCACCCCTATCTCTTTAAAAAAATTATTGAGGTAAAATTTATGTGGCATGAAATTCACCATTTTAAAGCACTCACTTCAGTGGCATCTCGTACAGTCACAATGTTGTGCAAGCATCGCTTCTATCTAGTTCCAGAACATTTCCACCACCCCCAGTAAAACCTCGGAGCCATTCGTAGTCACTCCCCAGACCCCCTACCTCTACCCCAGCCCCTGGCAACCACTAATCCGTGTTTTTCTCCATGGATTTCCCTATTCTGGACATTTCATATAAACGGTGTCACACACCATGTGGCCTTTTGTGTCTGGCTTGTCACTCAGCACAGCGTTTTCAAGGTTCATCCATGTTATCACACGGGTCATGGCTTCATTGCTTTTCGTGGCTGCATAATATTCCATTGTGTGGATGGACCACATTGTGTTTATCCGGTTGTCAGTTGATGGACATTCGGGTTGTTTCCACCTTTCAACTAAGAGGAATAATGCTGCCGTGGACACATGTTCACGTGCCTGTTAGAGCATCTGTTTTCAATCCTTTGTGTCTATACCTAGGAGTGGAATCGCCGAGTCATAGGATAAGTCTATGTTTAACTTACTGAGGAGCCACCAAACTGTTTTCCAGGGCGGCTGCCCCACTGTCCCTTTCCGCCGCTGACGCGTGGGGTTTCCCATTTCTCCCCCTCCTCGGCAACACTCTTCTATTTCTTTTTCCTGGTCTCCTGGTGGGTGTGAACCGGTCTCTCGTGGTTTGGATTTGCATCTTGCTAATGACTGGTGACGTCGGGCATCTTTTCAGGTGCTTCTTGGCCATGTGTCTGTCTTCTTTGGAGAAATGTCGACTCAAGTCCTTTGCCCATTTTTGAATTGGGTTGTTTTGCTTTCTGTTGTCGAGTTGTGACGTCCTTCTCTCTTTATCTAGTCCTTTATATCTCTCTGTGCGTCTCTCTGTCCATCTGTCTGTCTCTGTCTTGGTCTCTCAATGTCTCTCTCCCTCCCTCTCTGTCTGTCTGTCTCTCCGTTGGGTCTCCTGTCTGTCTGCTTCTCATCCTCCAGGTCTGAGCTCAACCTCTCCCTCCTTCCACAAGCCTTCGGCCATCCTTCTTTATCTCACACCACCTACTCACTTCTCTGCGGCACCAGCCACCGCTGAGAATTCTCTCTTTGTTCGGTGCTTGTTGTTTACCTGCCCCTGGCCTGGGTGCCCTGTGAGGACAGAACCTGGCTGTCCCGGCCACCTCTGTCCCCAGCACCACTCAGCACAGGGCCTGGCGCACGGTCGGTGCTTGGAGAGAGTTTGCAGGATGAATGAATGATGAGTGAATGAATGAATCCCTTTCTGCACCTCCTGGTGTCTCTGTGTGTCTCAGTCTGTCGGTCTGTCTGTCCGGCCCAGCCTGCCCCTTCCATCCTTCCCCACACCCCTGGCCTCTCCCTGCCCAGGGCCCCCAGTGTCTCAAGCTGGCTGCAGGACCGGGGTGAGAAGAAGGAGATTTGGAGCCTGGCTCCCTGGGGGCCTGCGCAGAAGTGTGTGTGTGGGGGGGGTGGTCAGCCAGACCGACCGGCCGCCTCACCCCACCCCTCCCTCTGCCCGCAGCCCCCGGCCGCAGGGGTCCCGCCGCGCTGGTCTCCGAAATCTTCGAGCAACACCTGGGAGGACACATCCTGCAGGTGGGTCCCTCCCTGCCTGCTGCTCCTTGCTGCCACCTGGTGGCCGCGTCCGGGAACAGCACCCTTTTCTCCAGCATCCATCCCATAGGGAGCCCCGGGACTGGGGGGCCGAATCCTGGGGCTCCCCCTCCTACCTGGCCCAGCCGAGGACCACCAAAGACCCTCCTCCCCCATCCCCAGAGTAATCCCTCCTAGGCGGAGATCCTGGTTTCAGAACCTCTTGCCACTTGCCGGCTGGACAGACGGATGCCAGGCCCTCCCTCCCTGTCTCTCCCCGCTCTAGTCCCTGGACGGCTTCGTGTTTGCCTTGAACCAGGAGGGGAAGTTCCTCTACATCTCGGAGACCGTCTCCATTTATCTGGGTCTCTCACAGGTAAGGGGCCGGCAGCAGGCTGCCCGGACTGGCTCGGCCACCAACTCCCCTGCCGGCCTGTGTTTGCCCTTTCTCTCCCGACCTCGCCATCCCAGCATGAAAACGGACTAGATCTGTGGCTCCCAAAGTGTGTTCCCTGGAACCCCACATGGCACCGAATATCTGGGTCCTCCCCACAGGCAGAGGAGGGTTATTAAAGTAACGGGTCAATTTGGAGAAAGCGAATGAGCAGAAAGACCAGTGTGGCAGGGAATGGTTGCCAAATGTACCACATTCACCAAAATTTTGATTCTTCTGACAATTTTAAAGGTTTACAGCAACTGGTATTGGAAGGGCTTGGGTTTGGCCAGCTTTGGAAGATTTTCTGTGGCATTTTGGTTGACTGGCTTTTGTTTTATCTTTGTTTCTGCCCCAGCTCCTGCAGCTGGTGGCCCAATGACAAAAGGAGGGCAGGGAGGGGCCGGCCCGGTGGCGCAGCGGTTAAGTTCGCACGTTGCCCTTCTCGGTGGCCCAGGGTTCACCGGTTCGGATCCCAGGTGCGGATATGGCACCGCTTGGCAAGCCATGCTGTAGCAGGCGTCCCACATATAAAGTAGAGGAAGATGGGCATGGATGTTAGCTCAGGGCCAGTCTTCCTCAGCAAAAAGAGGAGGATTGGTGGCAGATGTTAGCTCAGGGCTAATCTTCCTCAGCAAAAAAAAAAGGAGGGCAGGGAGAGATCAAAAGCCCCATCCCTGGAGTCCTGGCTCCCTGTGACATCTTAGGCCTTGCCAATCTATTCAACGCAAATTGCTGTCAGTTCTTATCGTTTTTACAAAGATTTTGGCGAATGGTAAATTTAGAAAATTTGATGTGTTGGTATTTGGCCTTTGTGAGCAGCTTTTCAGTGAGTCATGAGAGATTCCTGGAGGAGGAAGACTCTGAAGGAAGGGACATATGGACAAGAGGAAGGGAGGGCGGAAGAGTAGAGGAAAGGGTTTAGTGAGGGGAGGAGTTCAGAGGGGTGAGGGATAGAGGGAAGCCTGTGACCCCAAGCCCAGGGGCAGTGAAGACGTGGGAAGCATCTGGAAGGAGGGCTGTGTTCAGATGAGTAACTTGTGAAGATATATTGAGTAGGGACTGAAGACAAAAGACCAGTGAGGATGCTGGGGCGGGAACGCAGCGGGGAGAAGATGGGGGCCTGGACTGGGGGAGGCGTGGAGAGAAGGGGACTGCTGCAGGAGACCTGGGGAGTGAAACTGAATGGAAAAGTCTGTCTGATTAAAAGGTTCTAACTCTTTAACGAGTTCGAGAACCATTCCACTGCTGTGTCCTGAGTGCCATTCCTGTTGAGACGCCCTGTGATTCATTTCAGGGCACGCTTGTTTGCTTTAGGGAGGTGGGAGCGAGTAAGCAGGAGTTGGGCGAATGGAGGCTCTGACCTCCCCCATCCCAAGCCCTGCACGGCTCCTTCTTAATAGAGTAGGGGCAGGAAATACTTAATAATCACTGAGTTCAAAGTGGGAGGGCATGAGAAGAGCCTAAGTTTGTATCCTCCATGAAAAAGGTGAAAAAAAAAAAAAACCCTAAGAAAAACACAAGCCCGGCATGAAGCGCGCCTGCGCGTAGGCGAGTAAGTCTGAGGCGGAACCGGCGGGCGAGTGACTGCGCGCGCACCTCACCCGCCCCTTGCATTCCCCGCGGTGGCCGGCAGGTGGAGCTGACGGGCAGCAGCGTCTTTGACTACATCCATCCGGGGGACCACTCCGAGGTGCTGGAGCAACTGGGGCTGCGGGCCCCGACCCCCGGGCCCCCCACTCCGCCTTCCGTCCCCTCCTCTTCCTCCTCGTCCTCCTCGTCTTCCTCGCTTGCGGATACCCCCGAGATCGGTAATTCCAGGGGCCCCCAAAGAATGAGGTCTGAGGGGACACCGGGTCCGCTGTATCCAGCTGTTTCATTTAGACAAAAACTGCTCTCGTTAGAGTTGTGCAAAGCGAATTTTCACAAAATGAGTCAAAGTCTAAACTGAGGCAGGAAGATTTGGCTCCCTACAATTGCCGAAGCTCCCTAAGATTGCCCACCCAAGATCTGAGCTTTAGAAAGACCCCTCTGGGGGCCAGCCCGGTGGCACAGCAGTTAAGTACCACATTCCGCTTTGGCTGCCCGGGGTTCGCCGGTTCGGATCCTGAGGGCGGACATGGCACCGCTTATCAAGCCATGCTGTGGCAGGCGTCCCACAGAGAAAGTAGAGGAAGATGGGCACGGATGTTAGCTCAGGGCCAGTCTTCCTCAGCAAAAAGAGGAGGATTGGCGGCAGATGTTAGCTCAGGGCTAATCTTCCTCAAAAAAAAAAAAAAAGAAAAAGAAAAACCCCTCTGGCTGCTGAGAGGAGGGTGCCTGTGCTTGACAGATGGAACCAGACTTTGGTAAAGAACAATAACAACGCTTACAGGGCATTTACACGTGCTGTGCCTTTAATACATAATTTCATGAATCCTAACCCCAGCCCCACAAACCAGGAAGTATTACTATCTCCATTTTTCAGAGGAGGAAACTGAGGCACAGCACAGAGAGGTTAAGTTAATTGCCCCAGGCCACACAGCTATAAGTGGTTGAGTTGGACTCCAGCCCAGGTCTGTCTGGCTCCAGGGTCTGTGCGTCTAACCCTCCTTTCCCCTGGAAAATTCCAGAAACACCTGGGCTATCAGCAGTGCTGGCAAGCCTGGGAGATGTTTGTGACACGTACAGGACTGTCAGGGAGGGCGACTGCGTTTGCACCTAAGTTTGAGGCCCAGGGTCATCTGCGTGTGAGCGTGTTTCTAAGACGGTATCATGGGTTTATGGACTAATCTGTATTCTTGAGTGTTATTTGTCGCTATACCCTGAGCCCTTGATCTGTGCCCAGCTGGGGACACAGTCGTGACAAGAGCCCAGCTGCCCCCCGCCCCCAGGGCTCACAGTCCAGTGGCGGAGACTGACCCGTCCCCAGACCCTAGCGACCCAGAGCGGCAGGGCTGGGATGGGAGACCCCAGCGGGAGCGGCCGACCCAGCCTGGCGTTAAGGAGGGCTTCTTGGAGGAGGGGACGTCTGACCTGAGACCTGGAGGTTGCAGGACACCAAATTTTTAGGCCACCCTGAGGAGCTAGGCTTTCTCCCAGAAGTCCTAGGGAGCCATGGCAGGTTCAGAGCAGCGGAGGGACAAGGTCAGGCCCGAGCTTTAGAAAGACGCGGCTGGCCGGCTGCTGCTGGGAGCGGGGGTTAGTGGACAAGGTGAGTGAGTTTGTCGCTGAGCAGCTGAGGCCGTGACCCCGTTTCTGGCTGGCTCTGCGGGGGGGGCAGGGCGGCCTGTGTGCTCCCTCTTGGGGACCCCACAACCGCCCTCGCTCTCCCCCCAGAGGCCAGCCCCGCCGAGGGGTCCCCCTCCTCCGGGGTCCAGGAGCGCTCGTTCTTCATCCGCATGAAATCAACCCTCACCAAGAGGGGGCTGCACGTCAAGGCCTCGGGGTACAAGGTGGGTGCGAGCTCGTGGCCGCGGCCTCGGACCCCCACGTCCCCTCCCCGCCCAGGAACGTCCTGCATTCCTGCCAGCTCTGTCCCGGGGCCCCAGCACCTGAGGGGGACAGCCGGAGCCCGGCCCGGCCAGACCGTGGTCCTCCGGCCCCTGGCCACGCCCCCCGCCCGCAGGTCATTCACGTGACCGGCCGCCTCCGGGCCCGCGCGCTGGGGCTGGTGGCCCTCGGGCACACGCTGCCCCCGGCGCCACTGGCTGAGCTGCCCCTCCACGGACACACGATCGTCTTCCGTCTCAGCCTGGGGCTCACCATCCTTGCCTGTGAGAGCAGGTACCGGGGTTGGGGGCCGAGGCGGGCGGACGGGGGAGCCCCGGTCTGTGGGCTGGGGCACTGGGGAGCCATGGGAGGCGGCAGAGCAGCGGAGGACCGGGGGTGACCGGGAGAGGGGGCGGGGGCGGGGCCTGTGGGGATGGAGGAGGGGCCGGGCCCTCCCTTCCGCAGAGCCCCTTGCTCTCTGGGCTTCTCCAGTCTCCATCTCTCATCGTCTCTCTCCCGCACCACGCGGTGGGGAAAATTACCTAGTGAGATGGTGCCCACGCTCTGAGCCCCCCCGGGGTGCTGGGCCACCCCACGCCCAGGAGTGCCATGTGCTTGAGCGCCCATAGCCACCCTCTTATTGTAAATATTCTAGCGCCCCTGCTACAGAGGGGAAACTGAGGCCCAGAGCACTCCAGGGCAAGGGTCTGGACCCTGGGTGTTGCTGGAGCCAACTCTGTCTCTCTCCCCGACCCCCTGGTTTCGGACCCCTCCTCCCCGCCTCTCTCTGTCACCCCCCTGCCCTCAGAGTCAGTGACCACATGGACCTGGGGCCCTCGGAGCTGGTGGGCCGCAGCTGCTACCAGTTCGTCCACGGACAGGATGCAGCCAGGATCCGCCAAAGCCACCTGGACCGTGAGAACCCCTCACCCCAGACCTGAGGACGCCCACTGCCCCACTCCCTGGAAGTCCTTCTTCGGGGCTGACCACAGCCCCTCCTGCTGCCGACTCCCGGGCTCAACTCAGCACAGGAAGGGCAGCGAGGAGAGCAAGCAGCAGCTCGGGATATGGGTGGGATCAGGGGGACTTACGGGACCCGGACCACCCTCACAAACGCAGGGGCCTTGAGCCACCCACCTCTGCCTTTCTGACTCGGCCTCTGTCTCTGTCCCTCCTTTTGCCTTTCTCTCTTCTCCCCACGGTCTCCCCTGTCTGTTCCCGTCTCCCCGTCTCTCTGCACCTGTCTCCCCATCTCTCTCTGCACCTGTCTCCCCATCTCTCTCTGCACCTGTCTCCCCACCTCTCTCTGCACCTGTCTCCCCATCTCTCTCTGCACCTGTCTCCCCCTCTCTCTCTGCACCTGTCTCCCCATCTCTGTGTCCCCATCTCTCTGCACCTGTCTCCCCATCTCTCTCTGCACCTGTCTCCCTATCTCTCTGCACCTGTCTCCTCATCTCTCTCTGCACCTGTCTCCCCATCTCTCTCTGCACCTGTCTCCCTATCTCTGCACCGGTCTCCCCATCTCTGTGTCACCATCTCTCTGCACCTGTCTCCCCATCTCTCTGCCTGTGTCCCCGTCTCTCTGCACCTGTCTCCCTGTGTCAGCCCGTCCTCTCTGCCCATCCCCTGTCCACCGCCCTCTCCCCGCCTGTCTCCTCTATTCACCTGTCTCTCTTTCTCTGACCATCTCGCCCCCACCCCGTCCCTCCGGTCTCCCTGGCCCTGGGCCGGGCGCAGTGCTGGACAAGGGGCAGGTGATGACCGGTTACTACCGTTGGCTGCAGCGCGCCGGGGGCTTCGTGTGGCTGCAGTCCGTGGCCACCGTGGCTGTGAGCGGGAAGAGCCCTGGGGAGCGCCACGTGCTCTGGGTCAGCTACGTGCTCAGGTGAGGGCTGCGCCCCACCCACCCCACAGCGGACTCGGAACCCCCTCCAGAAGATTCTGTCGGCTCTCCCCTCCTCAGGGTGGGGGCTCTTCAGCGAGGGCTTCTAGAAGAGGACAAGCCCGGAGGGGTTTGAAACATGAAGTGGAAAAGGGGGACTGAGAGGAAGTGCCTGGAGGTGGGACGTGCTGGCTTGCAGGTGGCAGAGAGGAGCGTGGAGGGAGTGACAGTCTCTCCTGGGGAGGCAGGTCCGAATCGGCCTCAGGTCTACACTGAGGGGCTGCATTTGATGTGGGGCACTGGGGAGCCATGGCAGGCTCCTACCAGGGGAGGGCCGCAGAGCAGAGCAACGGATGGAAAGAAGCTAGAGGTGGGAAGGGCATTCCAGGCTGAGGGCACAGCCTAGGCAAAGGCTCAGAGCAACCACCAACTGGTCTGAGGAAGTAAAGGGAGCACCTGAGGCTGCAGTAGCAGTGAGAGACGACGCTGAGGATGATGGCAGGGGCACCGGGGAGCCACGGAGGGTTTCAGGCTGCAAGAGTCACAGTCAGATCTGCTTTTTGGAGAGACCTCCTCCAGCCGCCACGAAGAGGGACATCTAAGGGACAAGGCAGGGGCTGGGGGACCAGCGAGGACGGGCCCGTCCTGGGAATGCCCAGCAGTACAGGGGAGGAGGCGAGCCGCCCAGGTCTCCGGCTTCGCTGGGCCAGGATCTGAGCCTCTGAGAGGACAGCAGGTCTGGGAGAAGATGCTGAGGTCAGATGAGCAGGAGGTGCCCAGGGGGACACAGAGGTGGTGACATCCAGGGGGCCACAGGCTGCACAGGCCTGGCCTTGGGAGAGAGGGCCACGCTGGGCTAGAAGCCAGCTTGCAGTTTGGGGGTCCAGGGAGCAGGCCTAAGGCCTCAGGGTGGGGGCTCTACATTCACTGGCAGGGGAGGGGTCTACACCCACAGAGGGGGAGGGGAAGTCTACACCCACAAGACTGGGGGCAGGAGGGAGTCGACCCTCACCAGAGGCTGGGTGGCCCGGGACCCCTAACTCCCAACGCCATCTGTCCTGTCCCAGCCAAGCCGAGGGTGGCCAGACACCTCTAGACGCCTTCCAGCTTCCAGCCAGTGTGGCCTGTGAGGACACACCCAGCCCGGAGCCAGAGCCCACGGGTGAGCCCTACCTCCCACCCCAACCCCCGGGGGGCCCCAAGCGGCCTCTGGGGCCTGCGCTGTCCCATCTGGAAGCCACTAGCCACATGTGGCTATTTATGTTACAATTAAAAACTCAGTTCTGGGGCTGGCCCTGTGGTGTGGCGGTTAAGACTGTGTGCTCTGCTTTAGCGGCCTGGGGTTTGTGGGTTTGGATGCCGGGCACAGACCTAGCACCACTCGTAAAGCCATGCTGTGGTGGCATCCCACATAAAATAGAGGAAGACTGGCATAGATATTAGCTCAGAGCCAATCTTCCTCACCAAGAAAAAAAAAAAAAAAAACTCAGTTCCTCAGTCGTCCTCACCACATTTCAAGGGCTCAGTCGCCATCTGTGGCCAGTGGCTAATGTGTCAGACCGCACAGATATGGAACATTTCCACCCCAGCTGAGACCCACAGGTCCAGATGGCAGAGCACAGCTCCACTCCCCACATGGGAAGACTGAGGGCTGGGCATGAGCACACACAGCACCCTTTGCAATCTTTCTCTTCCAGAGCCGGAGCCTCCAGTGGGAAGGAAGCAGGCTGACCCCCTGGACAAGGATGAAGAGGCTCCCCAGACCCGGGGCAAGAGCATCAAAGTGGAGCCCGGCCCCGGGGAGACTAAAGATGCGGAGGACAGTGGGGACGAGGCACCAGCCAGCCACCCAGCCCCGCTGCGGCCTGAGTTCACCTCTGTCATTCGGGCAGGGGCCCTAAAGCAAGACCTGGTGCAGCCGTGGGGCCTGGCGTCCCCCGGAGACCCCCCGGCCGCCCTCCTCCACGCCGGCTTCCTGCCCCCCGTCGTCCGCGGCCTGTGCACGCCGGGCACCATCCGCTACGGCCCCGCCGAGCTGGGCTTTGTGTACCCACACCTGCAGAGGCTGGGCCCCGGGCCTGGCTTCCCAGAGGCCTTCTACCCCTCCCTGGGCCTGCCCTACCCGGGGCCCCCAGGCACCAGGGTGCAACGGAAAGGGGACTGAGGACTGGACAGCCACCTGCAGAGCTGGCCCCCAGGGGGATGGGTGGGGGCCTCCAGGGGACAGGAGACAGGGCTCTCGGCCCCAGCGGCCGATGCTGAGAATTAAACATCTGGTCCCCGTCTGTGGCTCGGTCTCTGGGGGCTAGGGAGCTCCTCTCTCCTTCTTTCTCCTTGGTGACTCCACCTGCCTGCCACCTCCCAGCCGTCTGTCCCCTCCCTCCTCCCTAGCTCCATCCCCCTCCAGACCCAGCCTTCCCCAGGCAACAGGAACCACCACTTGGAATCCGGAGTGAGGCAAGGGTCAGGTTTTAATGTCCCGGTCCTGGGCCCCAGGCCACCCAGCGTCGGGCCGGTCCCCAGGGCCCTGCAGCTGCTCATTCTGGCGGGGGCCGGCCCGCCTCATCCGGACCCTCAGCAGCAGCCGTCCCGTCGTCCTCGGGCACCAGCTCCACGTCCAGCTCCAACTGGCCCATGTAGAGGCCAACGGCACAAGCCCAGAGCAGGCCGGCCGCCAGCACGGCCCCCACGCCCGCCGCCGCGCCGCCCAGCGACAGCTGCATGGGCCCCCGGAGCGCCGCCAGGCCCACCACGTAGGAGGCGCCGCCCCACACCACGCACAGGCCGCCCAGCAGGAAGAAGCCTGGGGGAGAGGACAGGGGCCATGTCAATGGGCCGGAAGGGACAGGACGGGAGGGCCTGGGGCCCAGGCTGGGGGCGGAGGTGGGGGAAAGGGTCAGGGAGCCAGATCGCAGGGACCGAGGGGGGTCAGCGGAGTCAGGGGTAGGACAGAACCGAGGTTGGGAGTCATGAGAAGGAATCAGGGGTGTCTAGACTTGGAGGTGGGGTCCAGGATCAGAGGAGGGGTGGGGGCGGGTCTGAGAGCACAGACACGGTTGGAGGAGCAGAGGCAGGGCCCGGCTGGGGGTGGGCCACCATGAGGGGCCGGGACTAGGACCCTCATCTTTGTTGAGAAGTCTGACTGGAGGGGGTGAAGACCCACAGCCATGCCCTGGGCCACCCACTCAGGTGGGGCCAGTGCCCCTGAGGTAGGGGTGGGGGTGGGGGGTGGAAGGTTGACACAAGTGAGGGTGGGGGTTCATACTTTCCCCCGTGGGGGAGGGAGGGGGGCCTGCACTCACCATAGGCGGCTTCCCGACCCATGTCACTCTGCATGAAGGAGATGACCCCAATGCCCGAGGCCAGGAGGCCATTGCGGAACCAGGAGAGGAAGGCTGGAGAGAGGGGGTGAGATGGGGGCGCAGAAGTCAGCATCAGCTCAAACCCTGTCCACAACCCCCTCCCCAGACGGTGAAACTGGGGGCTTCTCCTCCTGCCACCGCCCCATCCCACCCCAAATCCCCACCTCTTCCTGGCGGCCCCCCACATAACCCTAGGCCCGCAAACCCTCTCTCGCCTCCACCTCTGAGGCCCTCTCCCGAAACTCTGCAACAGCAAAGACTCCAGACTCTCTGGAATGGGGAGGAGAATCTAGGACCAAACTTGCAGAACCTAAGACCCCAAGAGGTCATCATGCTCAGCTCCTCCCTACGCGTGTAGCCCCACGGCCGCCGCCGCACCTCCCCTCAGACCCGGGGAAGCACTGTTCCCCTACCCCAGGCCTCTCTCCAGACTCCCCCTTCAGGTGTCCTCAAACGCCACCGTCTGCTACTGGGTATGTCCCTCCTTGATGTCATTCACATCCATTCAAGTCCCCGGTGTGGCGCTAACGGTCTAGGCGGGTTACAAGCCCCCCACCCCCACCCCTACCCCATCCCCATCCTCTCTCTAGAGACCCGTCCTCTCCCATCCAGAACCCGCCCCACGTGAGCCCCCGCCTCCTGCAGCCTGGATCTCCTCGCCGTCCAATCAGCCCCGAGCTTTCCTTCTATTGGTTGTTCTTCCTCCAATGGGGAACTTGCCCCTCTTCTGTGCGGATCCACACTCCCGCCTCATGCAGAGTGGTCTCCCCTTTAATACGAACTGGCCCCACCAAAGCGGACCCCCCTTGGAAGCCACTCCCTGGCCCTGAGCCCTCTTTGGCAGCCTCCCTCCTGCAGGCGACGCGACCGTCTAAGGCTGCCTGTCCCGGCCCGACCAACCTCTCCGATCCCCACTGCGCCCCGCCAAGCCGGCCCCCCGTCCCATCCGCAAGCCCTTCTCTGCGGACGCACTGCGCTCCTGCAGCCAGCGCTCCCCGCGCTCACACGGAAGCCCTTCTCCCCCTGAGCCCGGGCCCTGCGCCAGCACAAGCCCCACCCCCGCCCCCCGCGGCGCGGGCAGCTCGGCTCTCCCGGGCCCTCGCCCACGCGCGCCGACCCCAGCCCCGGCCCCAGACCTGTCTCGTGCGCCTTCCGGAGGAGCCAGGCGTCCGCGCGGTCCAGCTCGGACACGGCGGGCGGCGAGGCCGCTGCACGGGGGCCGTGGCCGGGGGCGAAGGACCCCCGGGCGCCCCCGCTCCGAGGCCGCGGAGGCGGCAGCAGCGCCCCCCGGAAGCGGAGTCGGGCCAGGCGGGCGGCCCGAGCCCACCACCAGCCTCCTCCCATGGTTCGCACTACGGCCGCCGCGCCCCGCCCCGCCCCACGGGCCGCCCGTAGGCTGAAGCACACGTCACTCAGGCGTAGCGGTTCACCCATTGGTTAGGTGCGCGCCACTCAAGCCCAGTGCGTACTGTCCATTGGTCAGAATAACAGTAATTCCCTCCTCTGTTATTTGTGCCGGTACTGAGCGTCTCCCCTTGCTTCTGCCGCTGGACTACGAATCCCAGCGCTCATTGCGCCAGGGGAAGGCCGGTCTTCAGAAGCTGGAGGCGCGATGTCTGCTGGAACTTGTAGTTTTTCTTTTTCTTTTCTTTTCTTTTTTTTTTTTAAAGATTGGCACCTGGGCTAACAACTGTTGCCAATCTTCTTCTTCTTCTTTTTTTTTTTTTCTGCTTTATCTCCCCAAACCCGCCCTGTACATAGTTGTATATCTTAGTTGCAGGTCCTTCTAGTTGTAGGATGTGGGACACCGCCTCAATGTGGCCTGACGAGCGGTGCCATGTCCGCACCCAAGATCTGAATCCTGGGCCGGCGCAGCGGAGCGCGCGAACTTAACCACTCGGCCATGGAGTCGGCCCCCGTAGTTTTTCTTAATAACTTTAATTCCAATGATCAAAAATCAAACCCAAAACAAAACTCAGGGTGCTTAATATACAACCTTTGCAAAATCTCAAAGAGCTCAGAGGAGGAAGAAAAACTCACCATTGATCCCACCAGTGAGCCGTTACTGATAGTATTTTGTTATAGTCCCATCATTTTTCTATGCAGATAAAATAAGATGCCGTTTGACAAACTAAATTTTTTCATATAACAATAAATCATGGACACTGACCAGTGGCATTGACCATTTTTCCACAGTATAATTTTTTATTTATTTTATTTATTTTGAACATGGTACCAGATACAAAAGGGTCTAATGAAAAGTAATTCCCATCCCTTCCCCCAGCCGGCCAGTTCCCGTCCCCCGTTCCACAGCGTCAAGTTTGACGGCTCATAATGATGCACAGTAAGGACGTCCCGAAAGTGATCCCAGCCCCTAGGTTGTTTCCAATTTTCCCTGCTATAAACAATTGTAGTTTCCTTTTGGGTCTAAGCTGATGTCCGAGTCGGGTGGGACCTGATCCCACTAGCAAACTTCAGTAGCCGGCTTCTGCCTCTGGGTCCACACACGGCTTTATACACATCCCCTTACCACGCTGTGTCATGATGATCTCTCTGCTTATCTGTCTATGCCATCATGCCATCAGCTTCCAAAGGACTGGGTCATTCATTGACACATCTCTATGTCCCCCCCACACACACACACACCCAGTATAGGCAGAAGACTTGGTAAATAATAATAGTATTTACCGATGGCTTTCTCTGTGCCAGGAATTGTCCTAGGCATATTATGTGCATACTGTCATGTATTCCTCGTTGTAACCCTAGCAGTTGAGGATTAGAATATGCCCTCTTTTATAGAGGAAATAAATGAGGCTCAGAGAATCAAGGCAGTAAAAGCTAATGTTTATTGAGCCCTAACCATGGGTCAGACACTGTACTCTTGCTTTACACGGATGGTCATTAAATCCAAAATTCCCCTATGTGATATGTGTCATCATTATCCCCAGTTTTACAAAGGAGAAAGAAAAGAGACGTTAAATTAGTTCCTCTAAATCACAGAGCTAATTAGACAAGTCCAATGCCATGTTACTAGCCACCGTGCCATGCAGCTTAAACTCATTCATTCAAGTATTTACTGACTGCTTGCTCTCTGACTGCATTATGCTACATATTTGGTACAAATCAGTACAGAAAACAGACAAAATTCTCTGCCCTGAACTTCCTCATTTCAATAAAGGGCATCCTCAAAAAACCTACAGCTAGCCTCATTCTTTTTTTTTTTTTTTTTTTAAAGATTTTATTTTTTTCCCCTTTTTCTCCCCAAAGCCCCCCGGTACATAGTTGTGTATTCTTCGTGCTGGGTTCTTCTAGTTGTGGCATGTGGGACGCTGCCTCAGCGTGGTTTGATGAGCAGTGCCATGTCCGCGCCCAGGATTCGAACCAACGAAACACTGGGCCGCCTGCAGCAGAGCGCGCGAACTTAACCACTCGGCCACGGGGCCAGCCCCAGCTAGCCTCATTCTTAGTGGTGAAGTATTGACCGCTTTCCCCCTAAGACTGGAAGCAAAGCAAGGATTTCCACTCTCACCACTTCTAACCAGTATTGTCTCAGAGGTCCTAGCTAGCACAATAAAGCAAGAAAAAGAAATAAAAGTCATTAAGATCAGATAGAAGAAGGAAAACTGTCCATATTTGCATGGAATGTGATTGTTCCAGTAGAAAATTCTAAGCAATCAAAATAACTACTAAAACTAATAAATAAATTTAGCAAGGAGGCAGGATACCAGATGGATATACAAAGACCAATTTTATGGTTATATACTAGGAGGAAACAATTGTGAAATGAGATTTAAAATAATTCCCTTTACAATAGCATCAAAAACAAAAATACTTAGGAATAAATTTTACAAAAGACGTGCAAGATTTCTTTACTAAAAATGACAAAATACTGCTGAGGCACATTAAAGAAGATCTCCATAAATGGAA